TCTCGAAGGTGCTGCGTGGGGAGATGTAGAAGCCGCCGGTATCCAGCGTCCGGATCTTGTAATGCTTCACCGTGCCGCTCCGCAGGTCCTCCCCGTCCCGCACCGACAGCGAGTAGCAGCCTGTTCGGGGAGGGGTGAGCTGCCAGCCCCCGCGCAGGGGCCCCGTCCCTGTCACTCCAGGCCACCCCACGCTAACGGCCACCACTGCAGCCCCGTGTCCCCCGTGCTGCCACCACCCCCTCGGCCTCAGGCACGAGCCCAGCGACGCCTGCGACCGCAGCACCAAAAGCAGCCTCGAAGGGGCTCATGTCCCCCCACCCCGTCCCAACATGGGCTCTTGCACGGGACCCCCAGTCCCTGCCCCGCGGAGCCCCCGGGTTGGGGGCGCGTCTCCCGAGTCCCCCGGCCAGTGAACAGGGCAGCTGCTGCCCACCCCCCGGGCACCCCTCCAGACCTTGCGTGGTCTCGCTGTCCCGTATCATGAAGGACCCGATCACGTTCCCGGGGCCGAGGAGCTGCCGCTCCGCGTCCTTCCGGCTGATGCCCTTGAAAAACCAGCTGGGGCAGAAACAAATGAATCAAAACGCTGCCGGGGCTGGCGGGGGTCTGCGGGGCAGGAGCGGGGACAGCCACGGTGGGGATGTGCCACCGAGGGACGGACTCACTCCTCCGTCTCCAGCGAGTCCGCTCGGGCCACGTAGTTGCTGGGGATGAAGCCTTCGTGCCCCGTCGCCAGCGACTGCGCTCGCCACCACTCCCCTGCCCTGCGATAGAAATGGCACCGGGTTGGCCCGTGGTGCCACCAGCTCCTCTGGGGAAAAATTCCAGAAAAACAAAAAAAACAGCAAGCCCTCAGGAGACCCCGGGGTGAGGGGACGCCCACAGCACTTACTCCTCCAGCACCTTCAGCCGCTCCCCTTTCTGGAAGCTCAGGTCCCCAGAGTGCATCGCCTCGTAGTCGTAGAGCGCCAGCACCACGCTGTCCCCCGAGCCTGCAGCGAGGGGCTCCCTGGGCACCCCTTTCCCGTGTTGGGATGGGGTGCCGCCCCCCCCCGCCATGTGCGGCCGGGACACCAGGCAGCGCCTCCATCTCCATGGTGCCACGGCCACGTCTGGCCCCCGAGGATGCCCAGAGCCCCCGGGACCGGCAGCGTTTGACCCAGGGTGGAGAGGACCCAGCCACGCGCCCCCCCTCATGCTCCCACCTGGTGCACCCCCCCTGTACCTACCATCCTTGGGCAGAGACACGGCCACGCCGGGGACATTATTGTTCTGGAAAACAGGACACAAACCAGAGTGTGAAGCTGCAGGTGGTAGAGACCCTACGGGGGTCTCGGCCCCACCATGGCCCCGGCCCCCAGCAGCACAGCAGGGCAGGATGGCACCTGAGGGGCAGCACCCGACTCGCCAACTCGCCCAGCACCGGCATCTCTGCCCCTTCCAAACACCTTGACTTTTCTCTCTCTTTTTCCATCATTCCTTGGTTCCCATCAGTTCTGCTCTGCGCCTGCCCTGGCCAGGCTCTGTGCTCCCGTCCCTGCCATGGGGAGGGGCTGAACCCCCCATGACGGCTCAGCCCCGTGTCCCAAACTTGCTCCACGGCTCCCACTCACCTTCCTGTTGGTGGCCGTGGGGTCCTTCACGTAGTGGCCTTGCTGGAGGCTGGGGCCGGGGTCAGGGTCAGTTTTTATCATCTTCTCTTGGACGTCAGCTTCCTTCGACTTCACGCAACCCATCCTGCAGCCAGGGCAGGGGAAGTGAAGCCGTTGCAACAGAGGTGAAAGCCCCACTCCTGCCCCGCTCCCGCCCGGCACGGCGCAGAGCCGAGGGGGTGGCAGCCGCGGGGTGCGGGGGGCCCCAGCAAGGTGAGTGGTGCTGTGCTGGGGAGGAAGAGGGATCTCCCAGCGCAGAGAAAAGTCACGGGAGGCGAATCCCGGGCAGGCGAGAGCAGCTGCCATGGAGCAGCCCCACAGCCCGTCCCTTCCCGGCCGGGGGTGCAGGCCCTGGGTGCTGTGGGTCCCCACCCGGCACCACTGATGCTCACAGCCCCCTCCCAGTCCCTCGGTGTGGCCGTGGCCCCCCCCCGCTGCCACGGGTCACCCCACCGCGCTGCCCTGCCAGGGTGGAGCTGGGGCGAATGCAAATACTCAACTTTCTCCAGCTCCCCAAGAAACACCAGCAGGAAAATGTGCTGCAAAGAGCGCAGGGGAAACCCCCCGCAAAGGCACTTCCCTTGGCCGGGGGAGACCTCGGCGCTGAGAAAGGAGAAGGTGCCGGCGGTGGCAGCGAAGGAGGAAGCTCGGTGAGGCCCCACGA